GCTTAGATACCCTTCCTGACACAACCCTTCCACCAACCCTTGGAACCAGCAGTAGGAATTCACTAGCTTGTGTCTTTATCCCATCTGAGCTGGGGATCTTTCATGTAAAGGGATCACCATGGTGTGGAAAGCCACATGCCTCAGGTTGGCTTTGGAAGACAACCTGAGATAATAAAATGGTTTATACTCATTTTTATTGGCTCTAAAGCTCACCTTGCTCACAACGAATAGGTCTTCCCTCTTTACCACTCCTTGATCAATCATTGCATGGATTCCAGCTCCAACTTCTTCTTCATTCTGATACACATAAGCGCCATCTATGTGTCTGTAGCCACAACTTATGGCGACTTTCACGGCCTCAGTCACTTTTCCTGGTTCTGACTGCACAGGTAAGGTGATAGAAAAACATGGAATGAATAAAGCAAGTGTGGAAGCGGTTTTCTTTTGTGTCTTCCAGACTTATCACTGATTGATAATGGGTTAATAGATATGAATGTAATACACATATTGGCAACACCAGTATAACTACTACAGCTATTTTACACTGGTCATTAAGTTAATTAAGCAATAAAATGTTAATGTTTAGCCTCTTGGAGCAGATTACACCAGCATCACTATTCATGTAGGAGACATTTTGGGGTTGATACCTTATGTTGCTAGAGAAAGAGCCACCTTTTTTAGTTTCTGTATGGTAGGTTTCTGTAAAGGTAATTAAGGTAGACGCACGTAATCGGCGTCAGGTGTGTTGTTAATCGCAAGAAGGCAAGCAGTTTGTGACCGCTGCGCTGTTATGTTAAAATTATGTTGGAATAAAGACCAAAAAGGACAAGATAAGTACTGCTGGAGTTATCGGACTGTTTAATTAATTCATGCATACCAGTGACATCGCGTCACGCAGGATTAGCCTCTACAATCCAGTTTATTGTACTTTAGTTCCACTATGTAAATAACATGTTACTTTGCTTTCTTTTGTAACCAGACTCTATCAGCAAGATAGGGAATTTGTTATATAAAAACAAATTAAATATAAATAGTACAGATAACATAGACGAGTGAAACCAGTGAAAAATAATGAGAATAGCAGAAATATTAATTGAAAAGTAGGGTGAGCATGGACAGATTAGCAGTCTCCCACAGAGCTAGTTTAAAACAAAAAATTCTAAGACTTACCCTCCAGGTGCCCAGACCCACTATTGGCATCTTTGCTCCATTGTTAAGTGTAACTGCAGGTATCATCTTGGTAGCTTTGAAGTAACGTTCTCAACCTAGTCGGAACACTCGCTGTTTGATTGCGCTGACTCATGCTACTATATACTCTCTGTTGTAGTAGGAGGAGACTGTCTCTTACATCATCATAATATCAGTGAAATAGGAGGGCTTTCAATGGGCCCCGCTTGTCTTACACACAGTGCAGAAATATTCTGTTAGGTGTACATAATTTTTTTTTTTTACGGGTAGTTCTATAATTTCCACAATTTGGATAATGTGGAAAATTTGAAAGTAATGTCTTTATTCAGTCTGAGCATAAATCTGAAAAGCTGCAAACAAAATTATTGTGTTACTGAAACTGACAATTGACTGCATCTCACTTTAAATTGGTAACCTCTTATATGTGTAAACATAAATCCGCAGACAAAGTAAAATGACATTTTTTAATTGTCACTTACCATTGATACCTCTTACAAAGATGCAGCAATAGATGACTCCTCTACATTTTACAAAAAATATGCGATGGCCAAACATGTCTGTGACATCAATTAATGTATAGTCACTATAATGTTCACAACCATATACAGTGCTGTAAACAGTAAGCAGTCTGTCGTGTCAAGAGTTTACAGGAAAGTGAAAAGTTAGTATACAACCATCACAGGAACACAAAGTATTGTAGATAAGATTATGCAATTTGATAAAGTTTCTATTAGCACGGCTTGCGATTTTAGGTCAGTCTGAATGAATGAATCCCCCCTCAAAAATAATCTTTGAACACAGGACGCGGAGGAGGAGAGACAGCAACCTTCGCACTCAGGCTTTGAGCCAAATTTAAGTGTTGTGTTAATTAAAAAGCTTCAGTGGAAGATTGCTGCAGGGTTTATTCAGCAACCCAAGGTTAGGAAAGCCTTTCAAAATATATGCTCCCAAGACCAAAAATCTGTCAGAACTCACTTACTATAAACTAGAGGGAAACACACACAAAAGAAAAATGTCCTTTTTCTGACTGAGTTGGGTTTACAGCAGTAGGATAGTGAAGCAGTAACTTTTTGACTAAAGGCCTGTTCTGTCAAGGTGAAGACGTTGTAAATATAAGTGCGTTTATTGAGATGTTGGTGCATGTAATCTTCAGAAGGCAAAAGATAACATGTGATTCAGCACTCTGTTCTCAGAACAAAATGCTGACTCATGCAGTGAATATTACTTTAGCAACACACTGAAAACTACAGCTGCAGATTCAATGATATGTTAAACGTGACATGTCAAAATTGAAATATGTCTAAATGCAGACGTTCTCACAAAGATCACAACATTAATGATAAGAACTTTAAAAACTTTTCTCTGCTCATTAGAGTTAATATAGATATACAGTCCTCCTCTTTGTCAGGAACAGTTTGTTCTTATGCGTGCTTGACCCTGTTTGGCTGAATTCCAAAAGAATAACTATGTTTGAGGGTGTAGTTGAAACGAGGGAATGGGAAGTGTATCGGTAACCGGAAGGTCACCGGTTCGATCCCCGGGCTCTCTGTCCTGGTCATTGTGTCCTTGGGCAAGACACTTCACCTACCGCCTACTGGTGTTGGCCAGAAGGGCCGATGGCGCAATATGGCAGCCTCGCTTCTGTCAGTCTGCTCCAGGGCAGCTGTGGCTACAACTGTAGCTCCCTCACCCAGTGTGTGAATGTGAGAGTGAATGAATAGTGGAATTGTAAAGCGCTTTGGGTGCCTTGAAAAGCGCTATATAAATGCAATCCATTATTATCCTGATAATACGGATGTTTTTATCAGTTGCGTTAAAACTGTAGACACAATCTATGTATATATATTTTCACAATTTTTTGTTTTCAAACTGATTTTGATTATGACTTCTCTTTTACACCAAACTTCCTTCAAGGAGATAAAAGTTAGGCCCAAGGTTTTCTTTCCAAAGCACCAGATCTAAATCTACTCGATTACCTTTTGAATGTGGTGGAACAAGACAAATCGCACAGACAAATCTGCAGCAATTGTGTGATGATGTCATGTCAATATGGACCAAAATCTCTGAGGAATGTTTTCAGGACATTGCTGAAATTGATGCCATAAAGAACACCAGAAAAATATGGAGTGTGTCCTCAGCGGCCACACCGAAGATGTGAACAAATGGGTGAAAATCTTATCTGACAGACAACTCACCCAAGCCAAGCAAAAGGGTTGAACTTTACTGTGACACCAAGACAAATCCCGCTAGTGGAACTGATCACAGTCACAGAAACAGCAATTCAAAATAACAACATTGCAGATGTGGAAGCAGAGCAACTACAGGTGAAGGTTTCGGCCTGTCCCAGCAATGCAAAGGTTGCGGTGATGATACAGCAATGCAGGAGGAGGAGAGGAAAGCACTCACATCG